ACATCCCATTACAATACACTAAGTAAATACATGACAACAACAACAACAACATTATTAGTGGAGGTAACATCACATTACACGCTCCGCAAAAACATTAACGTCGATCACATCAACAACAAAACAAATTGATGTTAGCTAGAACAACATTGAGTTAACTAGGTGGCTAACCACGAGAACTACACTGAAATAATTTTCACCTATCACAACAACAACAGCAACAACAACAGCAGCAGCAACAACAGCAATAGCAACAACAACAGCAACAATAACAACACGTGGACGATAATAAGGCGTACTACGTACCAAATGCTCACCAAAGCATTTGAAATTGGAAAAGGCGAAACAACGACCCACCTAAACTCAAAAATGTATAGACACATATTCTCTCTCGATGATTTAAGACTAAGTAGTAAAAATAATAACCCAATAAATGGTAGGAGTAATATTACTATGCTATGAGTATTAGTTCTACATGAGTAAAACCAACACTACTATTACTATTGCTGCTGCTACTACTACTGCTGCTACTACTGCTGCTACTACTACTACAACTGTTAAGAATAATAATACTGTCACTACTACTAAAAATATTATTGATGACATAATATACTTAGAAATAACTCAACAATATGTAGTAATTTTAGTATTGTATAAGCAGTAAATTAATAAGAACGTTTTATCTATAATAGAATTTGTGTGTAGTGAATGTAGCAGTAGTTTCAGTAGTAAGTATATTTATTGCATTAATTAACATAGTATAGTATTAAGTAAATAAAATTTTTCATTTATTGCGTTAGTAATAGAATACATCTAAATATTTGTTGGGTTTTATTGATTTAACAATCGATTTCAACAGCAAGCAACATTGCAAGACAAGTTCTTTTTATCACAAAAGTGTTAGTCATCTTCATTTAGTAGTGTTAGTGATACAAGTGACATTGATGCTGGTCGTTGTTGTGGCAGCTGATGTGGTCTTGGCGCTCACTGGCGTCATCATTAAACTGTCAAATCGGTAATTGCATTGAGTTTTTCGGTCTAGTTTGGTATTTTTTCTGGCATATTTTGCCGCCGGCAAGTCAACAACAACAGCCGCATCCAGAGCAGCTGCAGCTGCTGCAACAATATAACAATCAACATCAGCAGAAAAAAACATTAATAACCTCACCGAAAAACTCGCAAAGGTATACCGACACGTTTCTACAACGACAACCCTCACCAAAGCAATTTTCAAAAATCGGTTTTTAAATTTAAAAATCGAAATTTTACAAAAAATAATTTTGTTAAAATCATAAAAATTGTAACTGTTTTAATAATTTTAACTATGAACTCGCTACACAAACAGAATCATCACACACAACAACAATTCTGCTACTACTACTAATACTACTACTAATACTACTACTACTATTACTGCTGCTGCTGCTACAACCACAGTTTCCACAACAACTACTACTACTACATTTAAAAAACATCAACAAAGTACATAAAAACAACCACAACAACAACAAGCCGAAAAATCCTGATGATAAGAGAATTTCGGAAGTGGAAATGTATTGCATTATCTTCATCAGCATCTATTCAGCCATCAACAACTACACATACAAAAAAAACTACAACATCAGCAGCCCGCCAACAGCAAAGGAAGTTTTTTTCAAAATTTAAAAACTTAAAAAGTAGGAAAACGAAATAGAAGATTATTCTGAAATCATGAAATATGATTTACTATTAAAAAAACTATACTACTAAAAACAGTTTGTATAAATTAACGAGACAAAAAAACAAACAAAAAATCATTAGAAAAAAATTTGAAACATTTTCAGTAATACATATTCCCCAGTGGTAGGAAAGTAATGCCATTCAACATCAAAAGACATTTCAATGTTTGTTCATAGAAACAAATTGATGGGTCAATAAACAAACAAACAGACCGGCAAGAAATTCACGCACACACATACGCACGCTTACACACACACGCACACACAGACACACACACAGACACGCACACACACAATATATATATATATTTTTTTCACAAGTTTATTTCAATCAAATAATGAAAGAAAAAGGTGCAACCTTAGCAATGAATGCTATATTAATGGTGACCTTAACTAAGATGATAGCCCAAAGTATAATGTCAGTCATATTGGAAAACAAAAAATGAAAATTGAACAATTAATTAGATTAAATAAGAAACCGTGAAAAACAATAATGTCAACCCGAAATTAGAAAAGGAAAATTAATTAATAATAAGAAAAATAAATGAAATCATGAGAAACAGCAAAAAAAAACCTTCAATTGTTTTTTAAACTTATTAAAAGTGTCAATTTTTTTTAAATAATTGGGAAGATCATTCCATAATTTTGGCGCATAAAAACAGAATATTCTGGAACTTCGCTTGTTAGTAGCTACTAATATCCTGAATGAGACTTCACTAATGACTCTAGTAGATCTTGGAACCTGGATTGAATTTAAGACAATCGATGCGATATCACCCTTAGTTGATATTCCCTTTATCACTTTAAATAAGAAACAGCAGGCCTTATAGCAATTTATTTCATACACAGAAAGAATCCGATTTATCAGAAAATTATCACGGATGTCATTTGGTCTTTTAGAATAAAAAAGTGCTTTAACACATTTTTTTTGGCAAACGAATAGTTCCTGTATACAAGTTTTATTTGCATTTCCCCAAATAAGATTGCAGTAAAACAAATGACTTTGAACAAAAGAGAAATAGAAGACTTTCCTCGAGTTATTGTTTAAGTATGTGCTAATGCGATGAACCAAGCCTAAAGTTATATTAATTTTGCTAATGACTGCTTTACATGGTGTTTGAAATTTATTCGAGAGTCAATAACAACTCCTAATAACTTGAATTGATCTACAAATTCCAGTGAATTACCATTTATTTCCAATTGCATATTGTCAGTTTGAATATTTTTATTTTTTGAAAAAATCATATACTTAGTTTTTTTAAGGTTAATGTTTAGTCTATTTAATAACGACCATTTATATAACGCATTAAGAAGATTTGTTGCTGAGTCCCTTAGTGAGCCAACATGTGTCTCACTAGTATAAAAAGTGCAATCGTCAGCAAATATAACCGAAGGACACTTGTGAATATGCGCAATATCATTAATAAACAACGAGAACAACAATGGTCTAAGGATATTACCTTTCGGCACACCTCTTGTAACCAGAGTTGTTTTTGAATTAGTTCCAGCAATATCGACATACTGATATCTGGAATCCAAATATGATTTCAACAAAACTGATAAATTACCATTGAAACCATAGCCTATGACCTTATCAATCAATAGATGATGATCGACTGAGTCAAAGGCTTTTGAGAAATCGACAAAGACAACGAGAGCCAACGATGAATTATTTAGATATGAATTAATATCATTTACAAACTTAAGAAGGGCATCTTCTGTAGATAAGCCACTTCTAAACCCAAATTGACAATCGCTCAAAAAATTATTTTCCTTAATGTATATATCCATTTTTTGTTTAATAATTTTTTCATATAATTTAGAGAGGCAAGGTATAATGCTAATAGGCCTGTAATTTGACATATCTGATTTGGAACCCGACTTATGAATAAGAATAATTTTTGAAATTTTAAGAGAATTTGGAAATAAGAATTGCTCAATTGATCTATCATATAAAATTGTTAAAATGGTTAATATATTTGTTTGTTTGTTTGTGTAGGTATGTATTTGTTGTTTGATTCTCTTTCTCTCCTCTTTTTCTCTCTCTCTCTCTTTCTCTCATTCTATCTCTCTATCTTTCTCTCCCTATATATGTATACATATATATTCATATATGTATACATATACATATATGCGTTTAATAATTTATATGTCCCCATCGACACATGCATCTAAAGTCATCGTAAAAAACTACCAACATCAACTTTCATCTAGTGATGTATATATAGGGATAAATAGAGAGAGAGAGACAGACAGAGAGAGAGAGAGAGAGAGAGAGAGAGAGAGAGAGAGAGGAAGAGAAAGGGAAGAGAATCAAACAACAAATACATACTTACACAAACAATCGAACAAATATACACATACAAACAAACAAACACATACAAACATACGCATACAAACAACGACTTACTTAGCATATTGTACCAATACCATAAACACATAAATACATACAAACACACACACAGACACACACAGACACGCATACACACACACATAAACATACATAAACACAAAAGGCAGAGTTATTTAGAGCTAGTGAGGCCTTGGATAAATTTAATTAGGAATGAAAGAGAGATATAATTTATCGTTAGGAAGGTTTCATTTTTGTCATCACGGTTGTCTGCCCTTTACGTGATGAGAAATTTATAAAAATTCGTTAATTACTGAAAAACTAGTTAAAGAAAAACAATTATATACTTAATAATAATAAAAATAAAATAAGGAAAATGAAGCACGTTCATGGTTGACATCGGAATGAAACAGAAACAGAAGTGAAACAAAAGAACAGATTGTTCGTTTAAAACAGGCGAAGACCTGTCAGAACTTGACCTTGATCACCACGGACACTGACCTCAATGACCTCGACGACCTCACCATCAAAGGGTCTATTATTTTTAACTGTTACAACAGACGGATTAGAAATAAATAATTATATTTTACTAATGGGTCCGTTAAAATGTACTATTACATGAGTTTTTCTTTTCAAATAACTAACTAAGGAGCACTAAAACAAATTTTTTAATAATTTTTTCTTATAAATGTTCATCAATGTTTAGATATAACTTCAAAAACCTGACGCATCATCAAAGTTCATAGACTGATGATGCGAAGTTCAAGATTGATTCATAAAAGTTTGTCTCAGCTCACAAACGCTCGTGTATTAAAAAATTGTTTTTCAACAAAAAATTTCAGTTAACTAATCCGTTAAAATTAACATAGACAACAACATAAACAACAACAACAACAACATTAACAACAACAACAACAACAACATTAACAACAGCCTGAACAAGAAGACGAAGAAGACAAACAACAGCACAACAACATTTCAAACTGCAACGTGGTTTTGCTGCCCTGCTGACTAGTGCAACGTTCTCATTCAATGTAAACTTTCAGTTCTGTATATTTCTAAACAACAACAACAACAATGTAACTAACAACAATAAAACAGTAAAACAACAACAACAACAATGTAACTTGTAAAATGTAAATGTAAAATGTAAAACAGTAAAACAACAACAGCAGCAACAACAATAATAGAATTATTATCATTATTAATATTATGTTATGTTATGTTATGTTGCCCTATCATTATGAATTGAATGAAACATCGTCGTCTGCATAATATGTTGCAAATAAGTTTACCTTCATTATTATTATTATTATTATTATTATTCATATTTTTGTTTTCCATATTCGCATCAACGATTAAAAGTGAATTTGTTGACAACAACGGTTGGTAACTATTAGAAAATTTTAAAGTTCTTTGAAAATTATTCTAATAAAAATAATAATTATACTTATATTCTTAATAATCACAATAAAACATTACAAATTACTATTTATGAATACATTACATTATAAAGTATATATTAGGTATTATTATTATTATTATTTCTCAGATGACGTCATGATGATCAGAGTGAGCACCATCATTGTTAGTAGTAGTCGTGCTACGATACGTCATGATGACGTCACTTTTTTTATTTATTATTATTATTATATATATATATATAATATATACACACAAACCATACGACAAACATACGCAGTATGGTTGCGTGCAAGTTTTACGTTGTACTACGCCTGAGGCGGTATTCGAACCCAGTTAGTGCGCAACAACAAGCGAGACGGAACACTCTTGTCATTATTGCTATCATCAAAGTATATATATATATATATATATATATATATATATATATATATATATATATATATACAATTTGGTATATATATGTATATATATATATGTATGCATATGCAATTGTTTATTGTTTTTCTCAAATGAGATAGGCCCCACCATACGTTTCACGCAATGCAGATGTCAACAACAACAAAAACAACAACATCACAGTCAACGTTACTAACGCACATGACATTAACACGATCAACAACAACATAGACATCATCAACAACGAATTCCACGTAAGCAGTGACGTCATCGGTAGCATCAACAACATTAACAACGACAACGACAGCAACAACAACAGCAACAACAACATTACTGAACCTAAACTAGTCGGTTTCTTGATTGATTATTTGGATGAAATTGCAGAAATTGCAAATTTCCAATACAACATCAGGTAGTGCTGCAAATTTAATGATAGCTAGCATGGTGTTGTTGTTGTTGTTGTTGTTGCAGATGTCGTCACCAATGTATTTGCGATTTTGTTGAGACGTTTATATTGGTTCATTCATTCATTCATTCATTCGTTCGTTCGTTCGTTCATTCATTCATTCATTTCTTTATTCTTTATTTCATTAATTCCTTTTTCATTCATTTCTTCATTCTTTATTTTATTCATTCCTTTTTCATTCATCCATCCAGTGAAGTAAAGGATGGAAAGTATGGATACTTAATCGAGGATGTTGACAATGAGAATATCCAACTAAACTGGACAGGACTCGTTGGAGAGCTTGTAAGAAATGTAAGGATGAATGAATGAATATGAATTAGTGAGTGAATGAATGAGTGAATGAATGAGTGAATGAGTAAGTAAGTGATAAATGAAAAACGCAATGTGCCGCTTAAATGTATAAAAGATTGAATGTATGTGCAAAAGTACGGGTGGGTGAATGAGTGAGTGAGTGTGTGAGTGAGTGAGTGAGTGAGTGAGTGAGTGAGTGTGTGAGTGAGTGAGTGAGTGAGTGAGTGAGTGAGTGAGTGAGTGAGTGAGTGAGGGAGCGAGCGAGCGAGCGAGCGAGCGAGCTAGCGAGTGAATAAATAACAGCAGCAAATAATAAATAAACAAATAAACAACTTAATAAATTAAATAACTAACTAATAGCCCAAACGGATAAATTAATAAATACCTTAATTAAACAACTAACTAACTAGTTAATTAATTAATTATTAATTAATTAATTAACCAATCAACCAATCAAAATTAGGAAACAGACCTGGCCCTAGCACCACTTGTCGTGTGCTCAGACAGACTGACAGCCATTGATTTCACCCTACCATTCGATTCATTCCAGGCCATTGTCGTTTACAGGGAATCGTTTTATTGGGGCAGCAGCAGTATAACCAGTAGTATAAGTAGTAGTGGTAGTATAAACAGCAGCGGCGATAGCAGCAGCAGCAGCAATAGTAGTAGCGGCGATAGCCACAGTAGTAGTAGTAGTGGTAGTGGCAGCGCGAGTACAGACAGTAGTAATTATAGTGATGGTAGTAGTGGGGCTGATAGTAGTATGAGTAGAAGTGGTAGTAGTAGTTTTGGTAAAAGTGGTAAGGATGATGATGAGGTTGGCGGGAAGATAACGTCTGTTGAAGACCTAATCTATAGAGATAAGTACAAGTTAGAAAGTTTTAAATGAAAAATTTTCTGATTTATTTTCATTAAAAATTTAAAATTAATTTCTAAGATTTAAAAAATGGTTAATTACGTTATTCAAATATTGAAAACTCGGTATTCAGTTTCGGAGCAGTTAGGGATGGGTCGATAATCAAGTACTTGTCAAAGTATCGGTCGAACCACGTTCAGAACAGCCTCTTTAAGATTTTAGACCGAAACCCGCTGCAACCGCCAACAGTCAAAAGTGGTCTAACTAGGTTGTTGCATGGATGGATAGATAGATGGATGGATGGATAGATGGATAGATAAATAGATGGGTGGATAGATGGATGGATAAATAGATGGATGGATAGATGGATGAATAAATAAAAGTAAAAATACCGAACGTATAATAAAATGGATAGATGGGTGAATGAATGAATAAAAACTTAACAACATTGTTAGCTGGTAGCATATATGAATGGATTGATAGAGGAATGAATGAAAGAAAGTAAGAACCAATGAATGAATGATTGAATGGATGAATAGAAGAATGAGTGGATAAAAAAAAACAAACTACAAACAAACTCAGGAAATATCATAACTTACCTCGAAATTCAGAGTCATGTTAGACGCAAATTACGCATTTTTGGTTGAGGAACCTGCTGTCCGATCTCTTCTTGGCGAGAAACCCTGCGATTTCAAGTCTCTACCTACAAATTTTTACAAGAGGCATTACGCTCTTGCCACAAGGTTCTATTTTTTTCTGTATAAGTAATAATTACTTGATAAATTAATTAATTTGTTTGTTTGTTATTTAGTTAGCTAGTTTGTTTGTTTATTAGTTTATTCATTCATTCGTTCACTCGTTCGTTCGTACTTTCATTTGTTCATCAGACCTGCTCACAGTACTGAAACGTCTTTACTCAAAATACACAATGATAGATATCCTTCTCTCTAGTGACAATAGTGATCTTACTCTTCTTCTTGCTCTTGACTTTTCCTCTGCTTTTGATACTGTTGACCATACTATTCTCTTTAGAGATCATTCTTTAAATATTACTGATTCTTGTCTATCTTGGTTTTCTTCTTATCTTCAAATTGTTTTTCTTCTGTTGTTTGTATCTACTTCTAACTTCTCTACTCTTACTTTTGGGGGTACCTAAGGGTTTTGTCCTTGGCCTTTTTTTGGTACTCTATATTTCTGAACTACCTCTTATTATTAATAATTTTTCACTGTTTCGCAAGTCGCCGTTTTATTCCTTAGCTGATTGTCTATATTTTGTTTATAATTTATAATTGTCCATGATTCGTTTGTTTAATTGAGAATTTTCTGTTTTCCTCTACGGCGAATCAAAGTTTACTAGTGCAGCAAGCGAATGAAAATGTTTTATCAAACACACATACATATTGCTCTAACTTTTTGATATGATTTGAAGATCAGTTTATAAACATAATCATTGTTGTTGTTTTCATCATACTTGTCATCATCATTTTGATTGTCTAGTTATCATTATCACCAGCATCATCATCACCATCACTATCACCATCATCATCATAAACATTATCACCATCATCACCATTGTTATCATCATCATCGTCGTCATCATCACCATCATCATCATCTTCATTTTCGTCATCGTCATCATCATCACCATCATTATCACCATCATCGTCATATCCTAATCATCATCACCATTATCATCATCATCGTCTTCATCTTCCCCACCACCATCTTCCAGAAAGAACTCTCCACTTCGTGACCGCATAAACTCTGCCATTTTGGAGATAATTGACAGTGGACGCCACGATGAACTGGTGAAGAAATGGTGGAAAGATGAATGTTCAGTCGCCCGTCTCAACGCGCAAACAATGATGAAATGTTTTGTCTGTTTGTTTTTAACAATTCTTACTTTGGTTTCGCTAATGTAGTCACTGGCTATTAAAAATAGCGAATGATTGGTGGTTTTGAAAAAGCTAGTATTATCATCTTGATATAATGATGATGGTGAAGATGATGGTGATCGTGATGGTGATAATAAGGTTGGTGATGACGACGATGAAGATGTGTAGATATATGATACTGTGCAAATTACTAAACTTATTCAAGGTCTGTAAAAGTGATTACCTTTTATAAATTCACTTATTAAAAATATTTCTTGTCATTTAAAATTTTTATTTTTTTGTAAAAAATTTATAATTATAAAAATAAGCTCCGTAGAAAAATTTTTACTTTTTGCCATGCGATGAAACCATGAAATTTATTAAAACCAGTTTTAAATTTGTAATAATGAAAAAAGGCTATGGTTCAATAAAACCATCTACGTTCATTTAACCACAGTTACCTAAACTACAAATAGAAAAATAGAAAAAAGTAAATTAAAAATAATTGTATACCAAAATTTTGTTGAAATTCAATAATAATATGTATGTACGTTACCTGTGAAAAATAATGATATGTTGTTGTTGCGGCGGTTGTGGCGGTGGTTGTTGTGGCGGTTGTGGTGGCGGTTGTTGCGGCGGTTGTGGCGGCGGTTGTTGCGGTGGTTGTTGCAACTGTCGCCGTATCGATTTGTAAATTTTTCCAAGTTTTATTTGAATATTTGAGGGCAGAAACATATAAATATCTTTAGTGTAGGGATGGTTACCGTCAAAATTTTTTGCAATCTCCAAAGTTATCTCTTCATATAGTTCACGTATTCGACTTTCCGAAGAGTTAGTTTCAGCTTCGAGGCTGTCCAAAAGTGTCGGCCTTTTTAAAAAAATTTTTTGTAAACATTGCTCTAGTGAATTAACTGTACATTTTTTCATTACTCTTCTCAATAATTTAAGTTTTATCGCAAGTTTTTCTAGTAGAAGCTGTTCTTCAAGCAGTAATTGATGGGGCTCTGGTCGAGATTGTTGTTGAGGTTGATGTTTTTGGCATTTCAATATATTTTTAAAAATTTTGCAATAGAGCAGTTGGTAAACTGAGAGAGCACTGCTGAAAAAGACGTCAAATGCAGGAACTGGCCGTTTGGCTGCGTTCTGCTGCTTGAATTCCATCGTCCGGATGATATTAAGAAGTTCACATCTTCGTATTTTGTAAAATTCTTTTAAGAAATGTGTTAAGTTTGGATGAATTTCTATATCTTTAAACTTTATATTCTTTTTATATGCTTCTTTTAAGAAATCATCTATTTTCTTTTTATGTTTGAATTCGTTGTCCAAAGTCTCATTTAATGTGGATTCAAAGGTATTTTTGTTTGTCTCTGATATATGATATAGCAGCAATTTTTCATGCAAACTCAGAAAACAAATATCGAGTGCAACAGTCTGATCACTTTTTTCAATCTGTATGATATCTCGCATGAAGGTGACCTCGACGTCAGAACGGTTGAAAGTTGAAAGTCCGCTGCTTCTCACCACAATGTTATCGTTGCTTTTTTTGTACTGAACCTTCAAGGTAATAATTTTTAAGCTGTCGACCACGAAACCTCTGACGGGTGAATATGTGATGATTGATCCCGAACCGTTTTCAAAATTTGCTCTGATGTCACCGTTGATGCTCAAGTCTGACTGCATTACCATCGTTTCTGATTCTCCATTGATTGTACTACCACATGTAATGCATGTCTTGCTCGTCTGTCATTAAAGTTTATTTCATTTTTAAATTTCTTGTTCATTAGTACAAAAAAAAGATTTTTTAAAGCTCTGAATTATTCAGCTATGAAAGTATTTTGCTTATCTTGTGTGCATCACGTGCGATTATGCATGCATAGCACTCGAATGTGTCCTGTTGCCGACTTTGTGGTCCAAAATGTTTGTTACTTCGAAAGGCTAAAACAGTGTTGCTAATTATCTTAATATAGTTTGTTAAAAAAAATGAATGTCGGTTCGTAGGTGAACTTTGATGACTGTCACTAAATTTCAAAATTTTAAATCAAAAATGACTTAAGACAAAATAAATTTACGAATCTCCGTTTCAGAAAAAGAATTCTTACAATGATGCACTGATCCAGGCATGTCTTGTGTGCGTGGTGGTAGCACGGAGGAACTTTTATGATGTCATCCGGACTGAAAATTTTTCGGCAAACGCGGCAGCGATCTAACTCCGGGGGAGGAGGAGTGTGTGGAAGCAGTAACTTCCGCAGCTGTTGACATTTTAAGCAAAAATTGAGATTTCTCAGGAGTTAATTCTTAAGTTTTTAAGTTTCTAGCAGGAAATTATTAGTAGTAGTTTGTGCTCCTGTATGTATGTGTGTGTGGGGAGAGAGAGAGAAAGAGAAAGAAAATGAGAGAGAGAACAAAGTATGATTAATGCGAAAAGGTTTTTAACAATATAAAGTCTTAGATTTTGCTGCATATTTTTTAAAATTCTCAAATGTGTATTGATGTGTACTTTTTCAATTGAATATGATGATGGTGATTAAATTCTTCAATCAGTACATGCTTTTAAAATTTTCTAGAGAGAAGTGATAAAAAAGAAGTTCTAACAGATGAGTAGATTTCTTTCGATGGTATCTGGTCGGATATTATGTAGCTGTACGACGGGACTGGTGCGTAGGGTCTCAAGGCCGGGACGGAGAGCAACTGTAGGAGTGGCGGGGAATTAATGACAGGCCACAACTCGCTTGCACATTCATCAAAGTTAGGTGATAGCGATAATGAGGATGCCACCTTTAACATGGCCGATAAAAATGATGTTTCTGATAACGGCTTCAGTGATGGTAACGGTCTTGATGCAGATGAGGATGATAATAATAATGACGTCAACAATAACGGTGACGATGATGTATCTGGGACTGATGACACAAATTGGGACAATGACGACAAATCAGCCAACATTTTCCCATAAAAAGATTGTTTGTGGCCTGGTTCAAATATTTCCAATAATGCTGAAAGTTCAAAAACTGGTTCGTCAATAAAGACAAACGTTTCTCGACAATTTAATACGTTTGCTTGGTCCATGTTTGTTTGTTGGTCAGTTGGCTGGTTTGTTTGTTGAAATGTAATTTCGCATGCTAGTCGGTTTGTTTGTTGACATGGTAGTTGGTATGATTGCAGATTGGCTGGTTGGTTTGTTGTTTGATCTTTTTGCAGATTTGTTGGTTGAAATGTTGGTTGTTTTGTTTGCAAGCTTGTTGGTTGATTTGATTGTTGATTCGTTATTTTTTTGATTTCTTTCTGTGTCGGTCCAGTTATAACCTGGCCAGTGTCTTGAAGTAATATGCCACCCCCTTCAACAGTGTTGCTTTCGGGACCGGGAGGGATTCTTTCTTGTGATGACAACCGCCGCAGTTTTTCATCAGTACCATCTTTTTTCAGAAATCCTGTCGAATTTTCAATTGCTTCATCAATTTCATGCTTGCCAACGTTCTCAATGTGTTCCATCATATCGCCGCCCGATTCAAAGTTGAGAAATTTTTCCTAATATAAAATCAATTCACAAACATTTAAAAACAAATTATTTCAATAATAATTAACTTAAAATAATTTGGTATTTATTTTGTATCATTTTGTATTTATATATATAATTTTCGATACTGAAAATTATAGAAGTTCTGAGGCATCTGCAAATGAGTAGGAGTTTCAACTGTTTTGACCAACCAAGGGCCTTCACAATTTTAAGTCAAGTCTCGTAAAAAGTGGAGGAAAATTTCTTTAGTACCATAGATGACAAGACGAAAATGTTTTTTAAACGGTCAATTTTTATAGATACATATAATACACATCTATTAATATTAGCGTCTCAATTTTTTATTCAGCTAATTAATTATTTTGCTAAAAATCTCATTCAAACAACTTCAATGTCAAAAAAAACAAGATAATTAAAATTGAATTTTGAATAAATATTGAATAAACTGTAAAGGGAATTCACCTTAGCAAGCAGCAATTTTTCAAAATGTTGTACGAGTTGCAATTACAAATTATAATGATTTTGAAACTTTCTCGCGTTATAAAAACTCTAAAGTTGATATACGTTTATATATTTTTCGTATCGTTTAAAAACAACGATTCAATGATTCTTCAGTAGAATGTAAAACATACATTGTTGAATTGTGGTTCCTTAGAAAGTTTCGAAATGTAAAAATAGCATTCATTTATACTATCGCTAAACAGGTAAAATACAAAACGTTTTACGGTCCTCGTTTGATATGTTTGTTGTTGTCTTGTTTGCCGTATTGTTTTGTATAACTGGTTTTTCTTGTATGTGTGTATGTTGTTTGTGTGTCTACTGTGTGTTGTATGTGGTGTAAGAAACATACGGCTGCACAAACTAATTTATTTATCTTGTAAAGTTTCTGTTCTCAGTGCGATAAGGTTCAGTTCAAATATATTTAAAGAAATATTTCTGTAGCCTCATGTGCGCTGTTTTTTACATGGATATTTATATATTTGTTTATTTATTGATTCATTTGTTTATTTTTTGTAATTTTATTCTTTTATTTGTTTGTTCACTGGTTTGCTAAATCATTCGTTCATTCGTTTGTTTGCTTATTTGATTATTGTTTGTCGATATATATACATTTATAAATAGAATTTAAAATAATTTATACTTCTAATATGGCAAACGAAGGATATGTTTACGAATTATGAAATCATTTTTAATGTTAACAACAATTTTTTATTTTTAACTATTTCAACCTCTAAAAAGCTATAAAAAAAATCTAAAAATTACACGCATGGATAAAATGAGAGTCAAGAAAAGAAAACATGTAAACACACAAACACAAATACCCACACGCGCACACACGACACACTCATACAGAGGCACGAAAACATGTTCACACAAACAAACTCACACACTAAAACTCAAAAACGTACTAGAACATATGCAATGTTTGCCTAAAAATTTGTTAGCAAAAAATAATTCTACCTGTCAATGAAGTATAAAAAAAATCATGAAAACCAGACAAAACATATTATCCTAATTGGGAAATAAAATACAATTTTACTATCCTGCTAACGCCCGCCAAATACTTCTAGCTAAAAAATTGTATAAAATGCGTAGCTGCAATAAAATTGTGAAAAAAATTACGTTTAAATTGTTAAAACTATCATTTCTTTATTATAGTTTATAATTTTTTATTTTAAATAATCTAAAATATTAAATGTAGAAAGTTAAAAAAGCATATTAAAAAACCACCTAAGCAAGAAATAAAAAAAATTAAACACAGCGAAATCGGCTGGAAAGAAAAAAGCCTGAAGCATTTCAACCGGAAACATCACCCGACATTCGGTAACATTTCTTCAGAGCCGACAAACATCCGATCAATTCCCGACTCGGTATGCCATCTCTCAATTTAGCAACCTCCTCGTCGATTATTGATTCCAATACAGCAACTCTTTTCTCACTTTCATGTGAATTTTCATAATTTTCCAACGATAAGCTCAATTTATTTTTCAAATTCTCAGAGAAAGAGTTAGATTTTGATTTCAAATGATTCATAGTTGGCCAGTCTTCGAGGCAAGCCTTACACTGACAGTCGAAGTAATATTGCTCTTTCAGAGCTTTTTTTCTTTCTGGTTTTGGCACAGCATAGAAGAGATAGCCGTAATCTACTCTGATACTTTTGCCCTTTTCGATTGGTTTGATACAGCGTACGATGCACTTGCCAGTCTGGAATATAAAGTCAGCATCAGGGAAACATGAATGGTTAAACATGGAAATGTTGGAATAGAGAGCAAGGCCTATGCTTGTTGGAATAATATCTGAGAACGATAGAGATAATGGTGATGATGACGACGATGATTCTGGTGAAGAGAATGATGATGATGGTGATGATGAAGTTGATGATGACTGGCAAGAGATTTGGGTTTCGTTTATTTCAATGCCGTTACATGTTATAATTTGAAGGATGGTCAGAAGGCACGATCCTAATTTTATTTTTAAATTTTCTTTTTTACTCTGCTGTGAATGTTGCGGCTGATTAATTGTTGAGACGTTAAGATTGAATTTTTGTTTAAAATAATCTACTCCTAACAAATTATCATCTGAAATGTTCAAATCATCAAATAAATGGACCACATTGTCGAGCAGTTGAACGATGAAGAGTGCCAGCAAGGAATATTGAAACAATTCATTTGGTTGCCTCTTGTCAGAGTGTGAAACCAGGTTGAAGAGAGAAGGTGGAACAAATTCGTTTTTCATGCATTTGTTTCCGTTTGTGATATCGTATTCACAAATTTTTGCGTTTGAGTTGCTACTTGGAGTTGAAATAAAATTACCATCGTTCTTTGCAGCATTGAGGCTACGACATTCCTTAGATGAGTTTTCATTTTGAGTCCGATCACACGCACTTCTGACACATTCGCGATCTCCACCTCTCAGCAGCATGAGAACAACTCTCAAAGCCAATCTGGCCAGGTTACCAGTTTTTGCTAGCAACAAAAATGACAACAATCTGCATTCAATCTCTCCATGCTCTGCAAGCCGCTGACCACAGCACAGTTCCTGGCACTGCTCGCTGCAGAAGGCCACTAACGAACAAAGTTTGCACGGAATTACTGGCGTTTTATTGAAATCTAAAGGCTGGAAACAGCGGTAGCATTTTCGTTTGAAGTAGTCTTCGTGCAAAACTTTTGCTTCTGTTTCTTCCGACATGATGATTTGTCCAGTTTTTATATCATCCGTGGCTATCATATCTCTACCTTCTTGGCTGTTGTAGATCGTGATGAAGGATCTCTCTGATGAAGTATCTTCAGCACCTATTTCATTAAGAGTATTGACTGTTTCTGCTTTGTGAATTTTTGAGATATTATCAATATTTTCATGCATATGATTTAAATTGTCAAAGTTTTTTAAATAAAGTTTACATGTTTGCATTATTTTTTCAACTTCTTTTTCTTTTATTACCTTCAAACTTTCTTTTAAATTCGCTATTTTAAGGGATTCCTTCAGTTGCTTGCAAACTATTTCAGTTTCATGCCACCTACAAAAAATTTCAAAACATTTTAGTTTTCTTTCGTAAAGTTTGTAGAGTTGAGATGGTGGGTAGTTGGAGTTGATGGAGCGATTGAGATCGTCCAGGCAAGAAACGAAGTTTTCCAACTTCATGTATACGGCCGACCTGTTGGCAAGTGATAGGGCTAACTCTTCATCATTTTCATCGTTTGATTCTGTAGTTGTTGTTGTTGAGAATGATGCAGGTTGTTGTGTTGATGTGTTCGATAGTTGAGACGATGGTGGTCTTGATGATTTAAGTGGGATGTGGTTGTTGTCAGCTGATCGAAAGACGTGATCATGAGGCCAGGGAGACAACAAAACAGCCTCGTTGTAACTGTTAAGTGCTTCTTGATATTTCCCATTTTTGTAGAAATCATTACCTTCTAAACGTTTCACTTTCGCTTTCATTTTGTCTTTTCTGAATTGAATCTTTGAATAATCATCGTTTGGCAATTTTTGAAAATTTTGACAGTTTCCTGGACAAACTTGCTGTCGATGAATATAGTTTGATATTTCTGATTTAGCACTTAGTAATGAGTGAACGTACTTGAATCTATCGACGTCCGATTTTAAATTTGAAAATTTTTTGGTGGTACCACTTTCGAGACTCCTTAAAATTTGCCCTACAATGTCGTAATATGTTGCTGAAAGTTGTTGCCGATGTTTTGGCTGTATGTTGTTGTTGCTGTTGTTGTTGTAGCCGTCGCCGCTGTTGTTTTTGTCATTTTCATTAGCGTTTTCATAACTCATTTTTTTTAATTTTCAACGTTTGATGTGTAAATTTCAAAATATTTTTAAAATGTGTGCAATTTTAAGTTTATCATTAACGTATCCAAATGATTGACAACACTGTGATCAACTAACTTCTTGACGAATAACAGCAGAGTAAATAATGTTGAACTATCAGACGGTAAGAATGACTAGTCAATAATGAAAATAACAAACTATTTGTCGAATCTTTGAAAAAAAAAATCATTCACACCAGAGCGAGATCAACCCGTTCAACGTCATTCGCTACCAGAAAATTTACTCAAAACTTTATCGGCGCTATTCTTTCTTATACCAACAACATTTTTAGTACAATTTTTCTTATTGAAAAAATAAAATTATTATAAATAAACAACATAAATAACGGACAACATTGATACATCAGTCAACAACAACATCAGATGCAACGTTCAAGAACAAAAGAAACAACAATAACAACACACTGTACTGCTGAATATATACTTTTATATACATACATACATACATACATACACACATACATACATATATATATACATACATACATACATACATACATACATACATACATACATACATACATACATACATACATACATACATACATACATACGTACGTACGTACATACATACATACATACATACATACACACATACACACACACACATACACATACACACATACACACATACATACATACTTACATACATACATACATACATACATACATACATACATACATACATACATACATACATACATACATACATACATTATATACATACATACAAACATAAATACATTTCAGCTACAGATCTTATCACCAAGTACTACAAACATTATAACAATGATACATGGAAGGCGGGGATGCATACAATATAACCAATATTTAAGTTTTTATGTGTTACTAACGATTTATACATAAGTATATGTGTATATATATAAAATTATAAAATATAAATATATATATATATCTTTTTTCATTTTCTCTCTCTCTCTCTCTCTCTATATATATATATATATATATATATACTTAGAAATAAATTTTAATAGCATAGATACACATACATACATAATAATGTATACATTCAAAAACTTCAAAAAACACATAGTTTAAGGTAGATAAAAAGAAAAAGTGAAAGTGAGAGAGAGAAAAAAAAGAGAGAAAAAAAGAGAGAGAGAAAAAGAAAGCGATGGAGAAAAACTTTTTGTACTTAGGGCACCCAATAAACAAGGCACCATAAAACGAACATCTTCAATGAAAACTATAAACACACGTACGTCAGATGCACAAGAACGCGCACACACTCACTCACACACACACAAGAAAAATACACAAACATACAATATACAAACATACAAAAAATATAAACATGTAAACATACATCTAAGTATGTATATCATACATATACATACATACATATATAAACATACAAACGCACTTCAAAGATTTTAAGATTCTTTCCTTCGTTTGTACGTATACCAGAAAAACAGATTTATTTCTGAGAAAATTTTAAAAATATATATATGCACATTAACACACACACATACACACACGCACGCACATACTCACACACAAAAACAAACATGATTGATGTTAATGGTTGTACTTATTGTTCGTGTTTTCCAAGAGCTCTACTGCCGTCTTCCCATGATTTATTTAAACTGTTGTTCATATTTTATGGTGGAGATGATGATGAGGATGAAGGACGATGACGACGATGTTGAACATCAAAAATGATAATGATGATGATGACGCTGATAGTGATGATTATGATGATGATTTTGTGTAAGTCGGAAATGAGAAAAAGAAAAAATGATGACGATTTGATGATGTGGATGATGATGGTGGTCATGATGATGATGGTGGTCATGATGATGATGGTAAGGATGATGATGATGAGGAGGAGGAGGAGTAGTAGGCGGATATTTGCTAGTATAACTTGTTAATAACGATACCAAATTTTTGCTACGTTACGATGATTTATCCATCTAGCTAGCAACTTTTTTCTCTTTCATTTCTTTTTTTCTCTTTTTTGCTCATTCTCTTTCGCTTTCTCTTTTACTTTTCTCAAATTCTTTTTTTTTCTCTCTCTCTCCCTCTTATTTTTTTTTTCTTTCAATCTCTCTCTCTCTCTCTCTCTCTCTCTCGCTATATCTCTCTCTCTCTTTCTCTCTCTCTCTTACTTTCTTTTTCTCTTTCTTTCCATCTATCTGTGTTTTCTTTTTTTTCATCTTCATTTTTCTTTACACTAATTTTTTAAACTTCATCTTCTGCCCATTGCTTCAATATTCTGACTTTCATGATTTTATATTTCAGACAAATTCGTCTAGTTGTACGTAGGTATATATCCCATATGATCGATCCTTAATGTTACTTTCATCTCAAAGGATTCGATGTCAACTATATCCGTTAGATACTTGTATCTAATGTATCTGTATCCTATGTAAGAAACTTATATCTGTTAGATATATATGTCTATATAAATATGTGTATGGATGGACAAGAGGTTTTTCAGCTAAACCATTCAAAATAAAACTTTTGTTAAAGTTTTGTATAAATGTGTTTTTGTAATCAATCTAGCTACCAAGCCTGCAAAAAATTTTGTTATGTAAGATGCGTTAATCACACGGAAAAGGCTGTAAAAAGAAGAGTTTGTGCAAAATTTGAAGACGTTTTTCTCTGTGGGACCTCTGAAATTTTCAACTATTCGTTTCGATCCTGACGTAAATCATCAACAAACATTTGGAAATTTTGAAATGGGAATTTTTAATTTTAAATTTATTGAGTTTTTGGTCATAATCTCATAATATATATATATATAAAAATACAGGTTATCAGATTAATAAATAAAATAAATCACGAACTAAAAAATCTCTTATTTGAATCAAAGTGAACTAGATAACTAAATAAATAACAACTAGCAAATAAAATTAAGAGCGAAATCAAATAAGTCAGATTGGCAATCCTGCTTGTTATTCATCATATTTTTGAAATTAATTATGAACTTTTCGTACGAAAGATGGCAGCCTTGATAGGAATTCTCAATTTCACTGGCGAACTCTTCTCTCTTCTCATCATCATCGTCTTCATCGTCCTCCTCTTCCTTCCTGGAGAAGATGACGATGACGTCATTGATCGGAACGATGACGAGGACAACGATGATGACGATGATGGCTTCCCATGCGGCAAGTAATCTGCATTTGAGGTTTGTGGTATACATTACTTCGAATGCATTTGACACAACTATCAAACAAAGTCATCCATAATACAAAAAACTCTTAAAATTATCATTCATCTTAAGATATAGCAAAGAAAATTAATTGGTGTGTGTAGAGAAAAAGAAAAGTGCTCTAACTAAGAAATGATTTGCCAACGATTTTACTCTGTTCAACGTTCAGCAGTGGTTCGTAAATTGAACCCACGCCCTCATCATTGTGGCCTTCGTCATTTTCGTTTTCTAATTTCATGGAGAAAATTTATTAGTAGTTGTAATAATAATAATAACAATAATAATAATAATAATAATAAGAGAAGTAGCTTCACTGACGTCTAACAGCAACAAGCACCAAACGTTCTCTCGTCTTGATCAGCTGATCACCTCTACCCCCAACCACGTGATCATTCAAATTTTTTACTCTTCCGGTCAAGTCCGAAAGGTCAAGTTTACCTGACGACGATGGTGATGATAGTGATGATGACTTAAAAGGGACGATGATGGCGATGATGATGATGATGATGGTGATGGTAGTGATGTTGGTGATGACGATTGTGACTATGAATGTATGAAGCATAAATGCTTATGAGCAAAGATAATTAAACAAAAACAAATTATGATTAATATTAATTAACTCTTGTCAACATTGTTCTATAAATAAAGTGACGTAACGAGATCTGATCTCAACTCAATTTTTACTTATTCTTTATTCGATTATTTATTCTTTCTTTCTTTCAATCAAACATTTCACTCGTTCATTTTTAAATCATCAAATCATAATCGATTGTTCCATCTATCCATCAAGTCATTCACTCAATCATTCAACCAACATTTACTCACTCATCTATTCATTCATTCATTCATTCATACAATTATTCATTCATTCATTCATTCGTTCGTTCGTTCGTTCATTCATTCATTCGTTCGTTCGTTCGTTCGTTCCTTTCATTCATTCATTCATTCATTCATTCATTCATTCATTCATTCATTCATTCATTCATTCATTCATTCATTCATTCATTCATTCATTCATTCATTCATTCATTCATTCATTCATTCATTCATTCATTCATTCATTCATTCATTCATTCATTCATTCATTCATTCATTCATTCATTCATTCATTCATTCATTCATTCATTCATTCATTCATTCATTCATTCATTCATTCATTCATTCATTCATTCATTCATTCATTCATTCATTCATTCATTCATTCATTCATTCATTCATTCATTCATTCATTCATTCATTCATTCATTCATTCATTCATTCATTCATTCATTCATTCATTCATTCATTCATTCATTCATTCATTCATTCATTCATTCATTCATTCCTACCTTCCTTGTTGTAATTGGAGACCTTCTCCAGATACCTTATCAACTGCCAAATGCTGCAATCCAAGTTCACAAACACCTCCCTGTCATCTTGATATGGGCGGGAAATTATTATTATGAATATTATTATTATTATTATAATTATTGTGGTTGTTGTTGTTGCTGTTGTTGTTAATGTTACAACTATAAAACTTATTACTCATATAATTATTTATTAATAACCTGCTAAGTAAACGACGGCATACATTATTTTAATTAATATTATTGTTATTATTATTGTTATTATTATTAGTAGTAGTAGTATTTTTTTTATTATGATTACAATATTATTATCATCAGTGATCGATCGATATGTCAATGTCCTAAAATTATTAATTAATAAAACTCTTTAAAATATTAAGTAACCAATTAATTGATCAATTTAATTAAAAATCGTTTAGGAACGTCCTCCCTTCAAAATTTTGCCTCCACACCCAACTCTAGCTACACTGTGAATATTGTTTAAATCTGCCCTTGACTATTATATTTTATTCTATTATTTGTTATTATATTATAAACTAATATAATTTTATAATATAATTTAATAGTTCATTAATAATTTTTATTAATCTGTTATATTTTAATATAATTACTATCAAATAATAACAAGAAATCCTAACTGGCATCAACTCTGCTAGTCTACACTCATGGGATCAAAATAATTCATTTATTTGGTTTCTTGCATGAACTTGTTCTATATGGTCTGCAGAAAGTAGTAGAAGTAGTAGTAGTATCTCAGTTGTAATGGTGGTAGTAGTAGATGTAGCAGTAGCAGCAGTAGTTGTTGTTGTAGTTGTAGCAAATGTAGTAGCAGTAGTTCCATTTTCAAAAGCAGTATCAGTGGTCATAATTTTAGCTAGAAATCTCAATTTTACCTATTACATGACACGTCTTAATCACACAAGTCACACACACTCACACGCACACACACGTACACACCACACACGTTCGCACACACACACAGGCACACACACACACGTTAATGTGAAATCTTAATTGAATCATGATATGCCATAACTGTATTCCGGTCCTGTGACGTATTTTGATTTTTTTTTATTATTTTATTGGTAGTAGTAGCAGCAGCAGTAGCATTAGTAGTAGTTGCGACAGCAGCAGATATAGTAGTAGTAGTAGTAGTAGTAGTAGTAGTAGTAGTAGTAGTAGCAGTAGTAGTAATAGTAGTAATAGTTGTAGTATTAGTAGCAGTAGTAGTAGTAGTAGTAGTAGTAGTAGCAGTAATAGTTGTAGCTGCAGATTGTAGTAGTAATCGTCATAATAGTAGTAGCATTATCACCGTCATCATCTGCATCATCATCATCTGCAGCTTCATCATCAACTCCATGAAAATTAATACTTCAAGAAAACAGCGTGATTTTTATGGCTGACACTTTTTAACTTCCACATCCATAATAAGGCCAAGTCAACACACACACACACATTCGCGCACGCACACGCACACACTTACACACACAAACAGATACCGTACACATACACAAACTCGCACACACAAAAACACGTACACACATACATGAAGTGAACATACAAACATCACATACAAACATCACATACAAACATACAAACACACCATAGACACATAACAACATCAACAAATAATCAGAGATATATTCACATATATAAACCTACAGTAGTAGTAGTAGTAGTAGTAGTAGTAGTAGTAGTAGTAGTAGTAGTAGTAGTAGTAGTAGTAGTAGTAGTAGTAGTAGTAGTAGTAGAAGTAATACCCAAAATATAAAATGACAACTTGTATATTTGACTTGATAACACATAACACATCGGTTATCTAAGAACAAATAAACAATAGTATTGAAGAATTGGGTTTCTTTATTAGCATGCGCCTATATTGGGGTATTTTGTATTGTGTGTTGTATTTATTGGGAGTATTGCGTTTTGTATGTACATTTTGTATTTGTGGTATCTTGACATGTGCTTACGCAGATACAACACATGCACACGTACATGTATGTGTAAATTTTCTTCTTTTAAACATGTTTCATTTGTGTTTTTTTTATGTTATACAATATATCTATCTATACGTTTACAAACTTGTTCAGTATGTGTGTGAGTATGTGTGTGAGTATGTGTGTGCGTGTGTGTGTGTGTGTGCGTGTGTGTGCGTGTGTTTGTCTCTACGTGTCTATTTGATAAGTGATGGAGATAACAGCAATCAATTAACGCCTCAACAAAACAGAAAATATCGGATTTCCTATGTGTGTGTTTGTGCGTGCGTGTGTGTGCGTGTGTGCTGTTGTTGTATGTGGTATTTCGTATGCTTTGGCTTTGTATGGCTTTGTATGTTTAAATGTTTGTTGAAGTTGAAGTTTATCAAATTTTATATAATATTTTAATTTAGGTTTAGTAATTTCAAATAATAAGTTTAGTTTTTTCTGTATTCTTGCAAAGGTTTTAGCAACAGGCAAAATGATTTTTTTGCTTTTTGTAAGATGTTTCATGTAAGATGTTTATTCATACCTAAACCCATTTTTAAGTAAGGAAGGAATGATTGTTTGTGGTGAACAAATAATCAAATTTTGTTTCAAATTTCAAAATTACTCAAAATAAAATCCGCTGTATCACAAATTTTTCATTGTTTTTTTTTATTAACAATAACAACAAATTTTATATTTCGAATTTTCAAATTGCACTAAATGTAAAACGAGTTTAACGTATGAGAAACAAGAAGGCTTTTGTTGCTGTTTATATGAATGTATTTTTGATCTTTAAATAAATAATAGTATATTAAATATATATTTTTGTAAGTTTTTTACTAAAATTAAAATAAAACTATTGAAAATTAAATATTTAAACAAATTCATCAAATAAAAATATTTTAGTTTACGAATATCAGTTCAAATGCGATTATTTCCATAAATATACATGTGTGTGTGTTTGTTTGTCTGTGTGTGTATCTACACGTGAATGTGTGTATTTGTATATCTGTGTGTGTATGCACATGTGTGTATGTGTGTTTGTTTTTGTTTAAATATCACAATGCGATGATATGAAGCCATCTTTAGTGTCAAAAATGTCAGTAAAATATAACATAATATCAGTGTGTTTCAGGTATAATCAAGTCGGTGTATTTATGTATGTTACACACACGCACACACACACACCATATATATATATATATATATATATATATATATTTATATTTGTATATATTTATACAACCTATATATATATGTATATATATATATATATATATATCCAATAAATTTATAACACGTAAGCTTTTATTCTATAATATTAAATAGAAATAAAAAAAGAAAGTCATACAAAATATTAAATACATATGAAAATTATACTATAGTTATGAATATGTAAATATTTAAATTTAATTAATTAATTAATTAATTAAATGAGAATAAGGCAAGTTTTTTAAGGCACTTTTGTTACGAGAATACATTCTGAAATACAGAAATGTACATTTTTTAATACAATTTCATGTACGTATACACACGGAATTGTACGCGAATTTGTATATGCAAAATATGTATACGAAATGGTGTACAAAGTTGAGTATTTGTGTATGCTGGAGTATTCATTGTATATTGGGGTACACATTCTACATAGACACAGTGATGTATAGTTTATGTATGTATGTATGTATAAAAAAAACTTGTCTGAACTTTACTAATTTATTTGGAAATTATAAACGGTAAAAAATGTAGAAAATATAAAAGTACAAAGACATACTAGGCCGAATATCAGATCTATTGTTAAAACTTGATAAAAATTTATCTATGAAAGAGTGTAGTTGCTGATGACGATAAGGATGACGATGGTGGAGAGAACAACGATGGCATAACTGACGATGATGATGTGGAGAGTGATAACGTGAATGATGATGATGACAGCGACGAAGACGATGATGAAAAAGAGTTATAGATTGGATAGAAGTTATTCATTGAGGTGTACGTGTTGCTGTTTTTGCTGTTGATGTTATTGCTGTTGCGGATGATGTTATACGAAGGCGTATTTTTGAAACCTTTTGCATTTGTTGTTAATGACGTTGTTGTTGTTGTTGCGAAATGCATGTTGTTGATTATTGTCGTTGGCTGCCCTGGATAGGTGTTGTACCATTCAGACATAGCCGATAATTCGAGGCCTGCGTATGGTATATTCGTTGAAACAGATGGTAGAGATAATTGAGAAATTGAGGGAACATTTGTCGTCGTAGTTGTTGTTGTTGTTGTGATTTTTGAAGAAGATGATGATGATGTTGTTGTTGATGTTGTTGTCAGAAGTAGAGAGGACGTTGATTTTGTTGTTGTTACTGATGCTGAAATGCCATTTGGTGAGTATTTGTTCAGTAGGTTTTTATTCAAGCTGCCATAGTCGTAGCTGTCGTTTAGGTAATTTAGGTTGTTGTTGTTGTTGTGAAAATAATAGTTGTTGCCAGAGTAGTAAAGTTGGCTGTAGTAGTAAGAGTTGTCTATATTGTTTTCATCGATGTTGTTGTTGTAGTGGTTATTTTTGTCGTTGTTGATAATACTTTTTGAGGTCTTATCATTATTTAATGAGAGTTGTTGTTGTTGCAGAGTTGGTTCGTGTCGTGGTCGTACCTGATTGTGTCGTTCTGTCAAATTTGTTGATTCGTTTTTGGCAGAGTAACTGCTGTTGTACGATTTGCCGCAACTGTTCAGAGTTGAACTACCGCTGCTGCTGCTGTTGTTGTTTTTGGTGTTATATTCTTTGTTGTTACTAAATTCTTTATTGTTATATTTTTTGTTGTTATATTCTTCGTTGTTGTTGATGTTGTTGTTGTTGTTGTTGTTTCCGTTGATGCTATTTAAATTATCGTTGGCGGTCTTCTCGTTTTGCCTCAGCTTAATCTTACCACCGCTGTAACAATTACTCTCGAAAACCTCATTCTCTCCGTAACAACAATCATTATCAATACCGACGTCATCAATATCATCACCTCTGCAACTAGCAACAACGTCGTCTTCGTCGTCATCACGTTCAATGGCATCGTCACTCACACCACAACTCACTCTCTCCTTCTTATTTCCTTCAGCGGAACTACTCACAAAGACCTCACCATCACTACTTCCCCCGCTACTCGTGCTGTGATTGGCGGCTCGTACTGTGGTCGACGATGTTAGCTGCTGCTGCTGCAGTAGAACGTGCATCTTCATGTGCTTGCGTAGGGATGATGGGTGGGTGTAAGTCTTGTCGCAACCTTCAAATCGACAGTGAAATGGCTTGTCGCTCGTGTGCACGTGGCTGTGTTTTTTGCGGTCGGAACTGTTCGCGAATCGTCGGTCGCATCCTTCGAAGTCGCATTTGAAGGGCTTCTCACCTGGAGGATGGAAAAGTTTTTGAGATTTTTTTTGTTATTGATTCTTTGTTACTGTTTTGAAATTCAGAATGGAGAACACTTGCTTATTGCTTGTTTAAATTTTGAAAAAATTATTATCAGTTGGTGAGCCTGTGTGTGTTTAATTGTCTGTGTGCGTGCATGTGTTTCTGAATGTATGTTTGTGCCCTGTGAGAGCAACTGCTACTTTTGAGGAAGTGCACAGTTTCATTTCTGTAATGGTTTTCAGACAAACTTAACTACTACATTATATATGAACATAATATAAGTAGTTGTAAAGTTACGATCAAGCACACAATTTGACAAATAAAAAAACTGGCAAACAAAAACGGACAGATAATTAAACCAATGAACCAACCAACAACCGAACGAACAAATAGGTGAACTATATCATAAACCCTCCGCCGAGTTATGAAAACAAACACGGCATCAGTAACAACATCAACCCAATAATAATCTATCGAGCAGACATGACACGTTGGTAAACGCATTAACAGAGAGTTTATGTTTTCCATGATTACTGATACAAACAAAACATACAAACACACCAAATTCATTAATACACAAAATATTTGCGTGGAAATATTATATTTGGTTCGATATGATGCAAAGATAGACTATATTTTGAGTGTATGTTTTTTTTTATTTGTTTTCAATTTTGCAGCTGAAGAAGGCAACATACAGGCCAGGCACACCAATATACCACACACACATACAGACACCACAAACACACACACTATACAAACGCCGCACACACATACAAACGCCACACACACATATACAAACACCACACACACACACACACATACAAACACCACACACACACACACACACATACAAACACCACACATATACAAACACCGCAGACACATACAAACTCCATACACACATACAAACACTGCACACATACAAACACCACATACACCACACCAACAACTACATTATTTACCCGCCACTTACGTAAACTGACAAGTACTAAAGTATTTATTTTTTTAAAAATACAACACACAAACTCACACACACACACACACCCATACACGCACACATACACACATACACATACACATATATATATATATATATATATATATATATATATATATATATATATATATATACATAAACACATTTTAAGTACATATATATGAGTGTCTATGTATACATGTGTTTTTAGATTAGGTTGTATGTACCTATACAAGAACTATGGAAAAAGTATGGCCGTATGTAACTATGCGGATGATGTTAGCGCGCGCGCACTTGAGACATTTCGTGATCAGAGATGTGTGAAAATGCCACTGAACAAGGCTCACGTATATAGTGCATTAAAGAATTTAATTAATCAATTAAAAAGAAATTTTTCAATTGCTATCAATATTATTATTGTTTTCTTGCTATAACTTCTATTGGTATTATTATTATTGTTGTTGTTGTTTTTATTGTTGTTATTATTAATATTATTTTTATATCTTTATCATTGTTCTGTTTGACAAGGTTTAATCTCTTAATTGTGTCGATCGCTAGAGTGAAAGTGGTTGGTAGTTGTTGTGCTGGCTGTCGTTTGTTGATGTTTGTGCAGTAATGCATACAAAGTGCATTGATACAACAAATGCATTAATGCAAGCAAACTGCATTAATACAATCTCATCAATTTTCGCCAATTAGCTCCTCAAAACAACAACTATGTGGAACAAACACGTAACCAAAAATCAAACAACACAAACAAACGAACGAACGAACAAACAAAACAAACAACACAAACAAACGAACGAACAAACAAACAAACAACACAAACAAACATACAAAAAATGGACAAACAATACAAACATACAAACAACTAAAACTAACCAGTGTGTGTACGTTTGTGAATTTTCAAATTTTCACTCCTGGCAAAGACCTTCCCGCACCCGGGAAAGGGGCAAGGAAAGGGTTTTTCCCCCGTGTGCACCCTCACGTGATTCACCAACTTGTATTTGGCCTGTTGTTGGTGTTGGGTTGTTGTTGTTGTGTTGGTGGATTGATAGGAGGATTGATTGATCGATTGAATGGATGAATGGCATGCTGCTTGGATAAATGGATAGATAGATGGATGGATGAATGATTGAATAAATGAATGAACGGATGTATGAATGAATGAAAAAAAAATAAGTGAATGAATGAATGACTGAATAAAAAATGAGTGAATGAATGAACAAACGAACGAACAAACGAATTAATTAATGAATGAATGATCGATTGTCTTATATAGAATTGAAAAACAAGCCAGTTTTATAATTGATTGAATTAACGATTGATTGATTGAATGATTGCATGGTTGATTGATCGTTTGATAGATTGATAGATTGATAGATTGATTGATAGATTGATAGATTGATTGATTGATTGATTGATTGATTGATTGATTGATTGATTGATTGATTGATTGATTGATTGATTGATTGATTGATTGATTGATTGATTGATTGATTGATTGATTGATTGATTGATTGATTGATTGATTGATTGATTGATTGATTGATTGATTGATTGATTGATTGATTGATTGATTGATTGATTGATTGATTGATTGATTGATTGATTGATTGATTGATTGATTGATTGATTGATTGATTGATTGATTGATTGATTGATTGATTGATTGATTGATTGATTGATTGATTGATTGATTGATTGATTGATTGATTGATTGATTGATTGATTGATTGATTGATTGATTGATTGATTGATTGATTGATTGATTGATTGATTGATTGATTGATTGAATAAGCATGTTATATGATTGGTGAATAGTTAACTGATTGATTGCTTGCTTGATTGATTGATTGATATGTTGGCACCTGTTTGTTTAAGCGTTAACGAGAAATATCAAAATACCAACTACGAACTACATTTCAATGTGACAATTAGATCAATCCATCAAATATCATTCTAATAAAGAACTTTACCATTATAATTTCAAGCATATATACTGTAAAAACTTAACATAAATGCAGGCATACACAGACAAACAGAAACAGACAAACAGACAGATACACACACACGAGAACAGACAGACAGACACATACACATGCAAAAATTTAGACCTTAAATGGCTTCATAAGTCTTTCACAGCCCTGCCAGTAGCATGTGTGGTCAGTCTGCTCTGGTCCCCCAACGTGATCAACAGTTAAATGAACCACAATGTCGTGAAGTGTGTCAAACGTTCGACCACAAACAACACTCTGATCGTCGTCGTTGTTGTCGCTACTGCTGTTGTTGTTGTTGTTGTTGTTGCCGTGTAGTTGTTTGTAGCAGTCGTAATCGTTGCTGTTGATGTTGCTGCTGCTGTTTGGGTTGTTGCTGCTACTGCTGCCGCTGCTTGTGGTGATGTTGTTGATGTTGTTGACGACCCACAAGCAACGACAATGTTGATTGATTGTCGGTCCGCGAAGATACCGAAGGAATGATGACGAGCCGGGTTGGCACGAAAATACCGATTCGAAAGGCGATCGCTTCGATAGGAAGTTATCATCTACCTCGTTCAGGCAACAAATGTTGTTTGTGGTGTTGTTGATGATGTTGTTGATGTTGATGTTGTTGTTGATATTGTAATTGTTGAGGTTAAAAAAATTTGTTGACGGCGTCGCTGGGTACGCATTGTAAGGAAGGATCGAGTCAAATCTCGGAGATGGGAGAACCGGAAACGGGTCGTACGAATAACTACTTCCGGAAAGGGATGTGTTTGGAAATATTAACGATGGCTGCAGTGCAGATGATATTGACGGAAGATTTGATTGTTGCTGAGAAATTGAGCTGCTCATAAAGTTGAACAACTCGTTATTTGATTTGTTGTTGAGGTTGTTGTTTGATAAGAACATGTAATTTGTGCTGGCTGGCTGGTTCGGACTGCTCAGATCCTCGCTGTAACTCTGCTGTTTACGATTTGATATTTTGTTGCCAGGTGATCGCATCAATTGTTGAGAATGATGTTGTTGTTGTTGCTGTTGTTGTTGCTGCTGCTGTTGATGCTTCTGCTGCTGATGCTGCTTGTATTTCATGTCTTGATTGTTTGGCTCTTTGTTGGAACTGTTGTTTGTATTAGCACCGGCTAGGTTGTTATTACTAGCAAGAGAATTGTTGTAAAAATTCGATTGCACCAAAGCGTCGCCATCATTGCCACAACCAAAACTATCCGATTCTCCTAATCCGGTATTAAACATCGACGACTGATACGAGTTGTTGCCACCGCCAAACCCTGGTAGCGACGACAATGACGACAGCGATTTTTGTTGGAGGTAATCGGCAGATGAAAACTTGCCTGCGTTCATGTCGGACGGCTTTTGAAAGAATAAATTCCTCGAGTAATTGTATCCTAGATCGAAAGTTGTAGCTGGCGATTGTGAGGCACCTGCAGTTAGAACTGTGGCCGCAGTGGTTGTGGTGAGTGTGGGAAGTTTCGAGGTGTAAGTGTTGTAGTAGTTGATTGGGTCCATCGGGTTGTAGTGGGGGTAGGTTGTGTAGGGGTGGGGTGGGTTTGGAAAACCGGAAAATGGAGTATCTTGGGTGTAAAAAAACATGTTCGAGGTTTTTACACGCTTTTGTTGTGCTGATTTTCTAAAAAAAATGATTTTAATAAAAGAAAAATTGTTGTCAATGTTTGCAACTGATACAGAAATGTTGTTGCTAGTTTGATTCTTTGAATTGTAGATGTTGTTGTATCAAGAGTATCATTAAAAATTTTAACTTAAAAGTTAATTATTTTATAAAAAACAGTCTTTTAATTTGTTTAAATCAGCTTTGATTTGTATTTTGATGTTGTTTCTAACGAGATCCATAGAAATGAAATAAACCTAATTCCATCGTTAGAGATGGTTTAGGTTTTTAATTTTTATAACTTAAACTGTTGTCGTTGCTGTAGCTACTACTGCTGCTACTGCTGCTGCTACTGCTATTGTTATCGTTATAATAGCCGTTGGCAATTTTCTTGCTGCTGTAGTAGTTGTTGTTGAGTGTGTGAGAATGACAGATGAATGCGTATCCAAAAAACAACGCTGAAGAGTAGTGATTCGAACATATTCTTCTTCCTTCATCAATTTCAAATGACCAGCATACCTGAAAAAATAGCTTACAATGTTTACTTAAAATTACAAAATTAAGAAGACGCAAGCGATACGATGATGATACATTTCTAATACATTTTCTCATAGAGTACCACCAGAAAAATTTCTAATAAAGATAAAATTATAAAAAAGGTGAGACAACAAACTTTACGACTAATATCAAGAACTTATATGAATACATCTTCGTGTGTGTGCGTGTGTGTGCGTGTATGTGTGCGTGTGTGCGTGTTCACGTAACAAAGAATTCCAGCGTATAGCCGAATTTTCCAAACACATCACCCGCCGTTATAATCCAATCATAACGTTTCGCGGTGACGTAGATATTACGTCATCGTCGTTTTGAAGCGGCTCTACTCGATTGTTAGTATTTTTTTGTTGTTTGTTGGTTTGTGTTTGAAAATTTGTTTGTGTGTGTGTGTGTTTATGTTTGTTTGTGTGTGCGTGTGGGAGTTTGGAAATAATTATTTTTTTGTATGTTTATATATGCTTATAACATTGCTTGTGTTTAAGCGCGTTTGCTTTTTACGCATTGTACACAACGTCTCTTTTGCAAGTGTGTGTGTGTGTGTGTGTGTGTGTTTGTTTGTATTTGTGATTTATGTATGTGAATGTGTGTATGTATGCGATATGTATATTTGTTTGTGTACGACCACAGTGTAGGAATGCAGTGTGCGTGCGTGCGTGTTCTATGTATGTGTACTATTTTACTGTATATATATGTGTGTGTGTGTGTTTGTGTCTATGTGCGCGTGTGAGCTGTTTGTGATGATCTACGTGTGTATGTGTAGTATTATGGTGGAGATGATGGTGAAGTGGGATATGATTAGGAAGCGATAATAATGGCAATGATTAGTAACATATTAATAGTTGTTGTTATTGTTGTTGTTGTTGCAGTATTATTTGTCGTTGTGAAAAATTCTAAATGGAAAATAGCGCTTGTGTTATTTGTGGGATTTATGCTGTCATCCTTATTTATGATGATGTCATTGTTGTTGTTGTTATTAATGTCACTTGTTGATAATGTTGCTGTTGTTGTTGACGATGTTGTTGTTGCTGAGGCTGTTGCTGTAGTTGTTGATGTGGTTGTCATTAGTGTTTTGATGTAACTGATATTTATGTTGTTGGTGTTGTTTTAATGATGTTAATTAGTTGACTAAATAAATTTAGAAAAATCTAAAATACCGACCCACCTGAACCAGTTTATGAGGTCATCATCAGCCTCCGAAACCGAGCATCTAATTAATCAGCAATTATAATTATTAACAATTAAAAACTAAATTTTAATTGAAACGTGAGTTTCATCCAATCAGTTTGGACAGCCAATATCTGCCATTCATCAATTTTTTTCTCTCCAAATTTATTTCTAAAGAATTTTTCAAGACGACTTCATATTATAAATGTTATTATTTTCACATGTTTCTTTACATCAATTTTATAACTATTTTATGTAAATAATTGTTAGCATTAATATTAATTATTTTATTTAAAAAAATGCAAAATTACTAACAGCAGAATAATTATGAACGAAATTTATAATTCAATTCAACTCATCATTTTTACACATTTCGTCAAAAGCCATTCAGCCAAACCACAGCTCATCGTACAAACAGAGCATGCATGCATATATAAATCGCCATCATCTACATGATATAACATTAACAACAATAATAACAGTTAAAATAATTTCTTCAACAAAAACAGGAATAATAATAATTTCTTTTATAATGAATTAAAAAAATTAATGTTAAAGTTGCGGCAACATGCTGAGCAAACTAATTATATTAAAATTATATATATATTTATATATATATATATATATATATCCATATATATGTAATATATATATTATATATATAACTCTATACCTCTATCTATAATTGTTATAATTTTTACCAAATTGTAATTGGCTAACGGGGACTTCTTCCACGAATCATGGTTCGAAATTTTAAAATGGGTGGAGGCTGTTTTGAATTTTAGACAACGTGATTGGCTGAAAGTTTTGCGTCGGTACCAGCATGTTGCGCGTTTTGTTGTGCAATGAATGGTGCTTTATGTTTTCGATCGTTAACCAATTATTAATTAGCTAATTAACTAATTACTTTACTCAGTTTTCTACCATACCATACTATACATTACAATACTATACTATACAATATAAAACTATTCTAAATTCTATATTGAGTTTTCGCATGTTTTTGTATGTATGCATAAATTTTTGGTAGGAGTGTATGTTTGTTTGTGTGTTTGTCTGTATCACATGTATGGATTTATAATGCTTTTTGAGAAATTTAGGAACAATTTACTTGAAATAAATAAAAATATCGTACAATAGGTGGATTTAATTTTCAAAGAAATTGAAATAAACGGTGATGATAAATATTATTTATGAATATGTGATAGGATTAAAGTTGTGTGTGCCTGCGCGTACGTGAATAAAACACGTGTGTACGTGTGCGTCAATGTGAACGTTTGTATGTGCGTGCGTGCGTGAGAGTTTGTCTATGTCTGTATGTGCGTTAATGCCATTGCTCATAAATTTTTAAAAATTTTTACATTAATATGTGTTTACTGTTTATGTGTAGATAATAATTGTTTATGAGTGGT